AAATGAATCATTCGTCAACATATTTTCATAGAATAGGCAGGATACATTAGTTTAGGATATACCGCTACTACGCGTACAGGTCATTCGTGACTTGGGCGTACGGGCACTTGGGCCTGGGCAACCGCTACGAATTGCCCTCTTGTGTGAGGGCTGCCATCATGGAGGCGTATCCTTCACGTGACGGCCAATATGTGGGGTTCAGGGTTAGTCGTAACAAAGATCTTCAGATCTTGGAAAGCCCGTGATTTTTTATGTTTAGCAATTGCGAGGCCGGGAAGCTTGCATGGAATGTGATGATGAAGAGTGGAGGGAAGGAAACTTCTGATGTGTATCGGAGTATTTATTTTTATTGTAGCTCTTATTATATGAGATGAGAAAGTGTTTCTGCGATGTCTCATGTACATATAACTAAGAACGTACAACTCTCGTTCAACATCATCATCGTCCACTGTCATGACGTCCACCACTGTATTTGCAAAGCCTTCGTTTGAGTACATCTCGGAAAATGTACTGCCGCCATGTATGCTCTGCGGGACACTTCAACACTTGTGTCGACTTCCTAGCGAGGAACTTCCTCTGCACTTGATATATCCCACCACGTCCCGCTCTCCTGTGTCCTCCGCCAATCTGAGCGTATTCATGTGCATGGTGGACATCATGCAGTAGAGAGTGTAGGTATGCTTAGGGCTAAAAAAAGCGAACTAAAGATGTCTGCAATCTGAGTTTTGTAGAATTTTCAGTATTTTTGAAACCCACAAGTACTTCTCCTTTTGGCAGTATATTCTGTCCAAAGAATTTTTGGACTCGCAAATAGAAGTACCCCCGAACGGACTGGCTTTAGCTAAGTCTCGTTGGAAAGACGGGGCTAAAGCCACCTCCCTCAACCTCTCGTAAGCCCTGCTTTCGAGGGTGAGATAGTGTGAGGTCGGTCCATCTGAGGGGTCATGCCCACACCTCACAAACGGTCCAGTCAATTCCTCCTGAATTACATCCGTGTACGGCCATGAGCATTATCAAATATACGTGTTGAATCACACCTGGGGCCATTCGTGTATGTTCCGAACGTGCATGAGGCAGGTGTTGAAAATTTCCCTTATGAGACCTTCTTCAGCCCCCTTTCCGATCGAGTACCACAAGTGCGACTTTAAGGTCTCAATCCACATACTTATCGGGGCGCATCGCCTAGTTTTGGAGACCTGTAATTCGCAAGATCTTGTCGTTCACCTCACGAAGGACTCCGCTTCCACTCACCTCCCGAAGTTTATTTCCTAGCCACTTTC